AAACTAGAATTAACTGAAGCGTGCAGAATGACAACAACATAGGTAAAAAAACAAAGGCATGAAGAAGCACAGTTTGGGTTTCGGAATAAACATGCAACAATAGACCAAATGCATAGAATAACGAATACTAAAATAAAATCTGCTCCTCCGTATTTCTGGATATTGCACAAGCTTTCGACAAAGTCTGGTTAGATGGTTTAAATTACAAACTAGACCAAATACTACCATCAACGTATAGTCAACTATTAAAATCGTATCTTTTTGATCGATATTTTAGATCTATTATATTTTAGATTTTCGCTTATTCGTCACTACATGAAGTACGAGCCGGAGTTCCTCAAGGAAGTGTGCTTGACCCAACACTGTACTTACTCTACACATTCGACCTTCCTCAGGTACCCGAAACTTTAACAGCTACATTAGCAGATGACACAGCGATCTTGGCTGTTGCAGAAAATGAAGTAGTTGCAGCAAATAAGTTACAATTGGCCTTAAATTCAATAGAAAACTGGACCAAACGATGGCTAATAAAACTAAATACAAATAAATCGACATACATAAACTTTNAAATAGGGGGATTGCATATTTTGCTAAAATTTTATTCCAAAGGCCTTTACTGAGTGTATTTTGATAGCGTTTTAATTCTGTCTGATTCTGTCACAAAGTTTTAAAATGTTTGACTTCTTGGGACACAAAGGGTTAAATAGAGCTTAAGTTTTCGAAAACGTTGCCTTTTTAATGAAATGATCCGATTTAAAATGCAGCATCTCGTTTTTGAGAAAATAATACACATCTCACAAGGTTCGATTATAGCGCCACCTAACTAACCTTTATGGTCGTTTCAAAAAGGCAAAAAGGATGTTGGTGGTGGTAACATCCCAGAGGATAGAATTTAATTACACTCCATATTTCTCTTCAGTATATCATCACCTAAGAATTATTTTGAACCAAGCCTCTTACGTCTAGAAAGCAGTAATTTGGAATTAAACGTTACCACATCGTTTACCTTTCGTGGTTGTGACTACGGGCTATGTCTAAATTCATGTTAAGATTAGTGGTATCAAGTCCTATGTCACGTGATTGCATGCTCTGTTATCATTGGTACAATTCTTGGTATAATACAATTTCACATAGTAAGATTTTTAGACATGGTTCAAAATAATTCTCAGGTGACGATATATTAACGGGAACCTTAATGATCGATGTAGCTTTAGTACCACTCTTAGTCAAAAATGTCTATGATTTCCCTTCAAGATGATGCATCTCTTCTAATTGATGTTAACCATAAATTATGATTTAATCCAAATAATTTGCCGAGTAAGCTTATGTAGCCACATAACCCAAGGCAAAAATCACAAGGCGTCTAAATTTTTCGTGGGCTTTGACATAGCACAAAAGAGAATAAAATGACGAAATGATTTTGGAACAAATAATGGAATACCAAGCAGTGTACCAGTTCATGACAATCGCCAGTGGACTCAATTACTGTGCAAAAGACCGTCAAAAAGACAGTAGCTGATGATCAATGGTTATTATTGAGCGATTCATGTTTTAACATGGATGTAGTCGAGGACCTATCTGTTTACTAAGATATTTTAATCCTAGTTGATGGACACTTTAATGAAAAAATTCAAAGAATTCTGCACCTATTTACGTACGTTCATTAGGATGGACGCTTAAGCCTTTGATAAGACTACTTGAAGATGAGTAAATATTGATTAAAATGTTAAACTCAACTTGATAGCAAAGTCGACAACCAAGCCATTGGTGGAGTATTTATTTACAAATATTGGTTAGGTTGGGTTGGGTACAAAACCGTTATTGGTTTTGTACCTTTTTGTACTTTTTGTTATTGGTATTTCATTTTCAATTAAGTATTACAAGGTAATGAGTGAGTTCCGAGGAGTCTGAAGAGAAATTAGTGTTTTGCACTGACGCTTAAAATCTTTAATATAGGATAATATGATGTAACTAAATCACTATAATTCCATTGTTTAAAAAAGAAACCCAACCCATCCATTTCGACATATTTAAATTTTTTTAGTTGTGGCGTTATGCTTTAATAAATACATAATTTGCACTACAACATTAAATATTGCAAGAGCACGATACTTGAAGTGGCTACAATGGCTTTGTCACAATTTTTTAATAGTCTACCAAAATTTTTCCATAAACACTCACAAGAAATATGATAATAAAATTCATCTTAATGCTCTTATGAAAACAAACGAAGACATCGACAATGAAGTAGAAAAGTTCTTAAAAGACATACAAAACGCAGCGAGGGCCTCAACACCATTTTTAACACCTAAACCTAATTCTCATATTTATTCTAAATTCATCAGACACAAAATTGCAGAATAACGGAAAGCAAGAAAGAAATGGCAAACCAATAGAATTCCTAGTGATAAAACTAAATTAAATAAAATAACAGCCGAATTAAGAGCATTAACGGATAGCCACAAAGAAAATAATATTCAAAATTACTTAAAAGACCTTACTGACGATGCCAGTACTAATTATTCTCTGTGGAAGGCAACAAGAAAGCTTAAAGTTCCAAAAACACATACACCTCCAATTCGAAATAATAATGGAAATTGGGCTAAGAGCAATCAAGAAAAAGTTAATTTGTTTGCTGAACATCTGAAAGAAACTTTTACATCAGACAGTCCAACAACTATGCTAAATAGTGTCCCTAGCGTAATTCAAAGTGATCAGCAGAGTAATATACCATGTGTAAGAATGAAAGAACTGTATTATGAAATACAAAAACTAAATATAAAGAAATCAGTAGGCTATGACCTAATTAATGGAGAAACATTGAAACATCTACCAAAACGGGCGATTACAAAACTATTACACATAATTAATGCTGCTTTTAAACAGAAATACTTCCCAAGCATATGGAAAGTTGCTGAAATAATAATGATACCAAAACCTGGTAAACCCCCCACAGATGTTACATCATATAGGCCAATCTCATTATTACCCTTACTATCAAAACTGCTTGAAAAGTTACTATTAAAAAGACTAAAACTTATCATAGAAGAAAAAGCCCTAATACCAACACATCAATTTGGGTTTCGGAATAAACATGCAACAATAGACCAAGTGCATAGAATAACGAATACTATCGAAATAGCAATGGAAGAAAATAAAGTCTGCTCCGCCGTATTTTTGGATGTTGCACAAGCTTTCGACAAAGTCTGGTTAGATGGTTTAAATTACAAACTAGACCAAATACTACCATCAACGTATAGTCAACTATTAAAATCGTATCTTTCTGATCGATATTTTAGAGTAAAATACGAAAACGCTTATTCACCACTACATGAAATACGAGCCGGAGTTCCTCAAGGAAGTGTGCTTGGCCCAACACTGTACTTACTCTACACATTCGACCTTCCTCAGGTACCAGAAACTTTAACAGCTACATTCGCAGATGACACAGCGATCTTGGCTGTTGCAGAAAATGAAGTAGTTGCAGCAAATAAGTTACAATTGGCCTTAAATTCAATAGAAAACTGGACCAAACGATGGCTAATAAAACTAAATACAAATAAATCGACATACATAAACTTTAGTTATAAGAAAGTAAACTATGTCCAAGTACACATAAATGGCAATGCAGTCCCTTACGTCGACACTTCAATGACACTTCACTTACAATATGAAGCGTTTTTAAGTGGTTTCAAACGTTAGTGCTGGTTCTGCGCTATTTTATAACTCAATGCAGATGACCATAAAGGTGGGCAGAGAAGTCAGATTTTTGCCACCTGCTGAAATCTTCATGATTGGACTTCGGTAACATTTTGACATAAGGAAAATATTAGAAAAGATAAAAAAGATATTACATTCCAAGATGGATGTGAAGGAGTCTAAAGTCTGACTTGTAAGTATTGAGTGTTAAAATGTGGATGAATCATTAAGAACCTTCTTCAAAAAGTATCGAATCAATCATACCATCGTTGATATGTCGCGATAGTATAAGATGCTTTATGGTTATCACATTAACCGTAATTGTTGTTTATTTAAATAAACAATTATCGTGGATCGACCTTTTTCATTTTCAAGTAAGTATTACAAGGTAATGAATGAGTTCCAAGGAGTCTGAAGAGAAATTAGTGTTTTGCAGTGAGGCTTAAAATATTTAATACAGGATATGATGTAACTAAATCACTATAATTCGTAATTTGTCTTATATAATTTCATTAAAATAATTGACTAAAAACATAATAATTTTATTAAAGAAGATTTTTAAATGTGTAGGCAGAGACCAATTAACTACACATTAGTAATTAACTTATTACCGTCGAAAACGGTGTTAATTAAAGGACAAGTTCCCGTAGGAGAAAGCGATTGCTAGTCACAAGCAGGGGGTCCTCACGAATTAATTGCGCGTCAAGCCCGCGGATGATTAATTCTTCGGACGAACGGAAAGCTCAACTGTCGAAAAGTAATTTGGCGGCCGCTAACTAACCGACCATTGTTGCTCCTACCGTTAATTGATGAATTAGTAAATTAAGTTGTTCGGTTTTCGGACCAGTACCGTGGAGAGGAAAGGGGTCTATCGAGTTCTACCTTCCACTTACGGCTCGATTGGCAGCCGTTCCATCTACCGACGTCGATGTTAATTGCATTAAAATCTCTGCTAGAGAGGCGCGAGACTCTCGATGTGTTGGTCTTTTTACTTGTTTTACGACCCGGTTGGTCTCACCTCGAGAATTAACCGGACCCTGCTCTTGCTGGTCGTTTTCTTGCTTTTAAGACTCCCTTAAGTAATGGGCGCGATAGACCGTAGTAGGTATAGATATAAGGTAGCGGGAGTTTTGTAAGGGCATTAAAGAACAGGTATTACCATCGATTACCGGTGGGCTTAACACAGAAGGTGTTGTTAAAAGGATAGATGATGATTATTAATAGAGTTCTTAGGTTACTATAAGATCAAAAAAAATTTAGTAACGAAATTTTAAAAATTTATTTTTTTTACCTATGTGTAGGAGAAGGAAGCTGTAACTCAAACGACGGTGTATCGGAGATTCGTTACGGTAAAATGGGAAATGGTACCGGAACCGGAAGCGGATCGGACGACGAAGGCATGACAGGAAACTCAAGTCTCTCGGAAAGTGGGGAAAACTGCAAGAAGAAACACCGTCGAAATAGGACCACGTTTACAACGTACCAACTACACGAGTTAGAAAGGGCTTTCGAAAAAAGTCACTATCCGGACGTATACAGCAGAGAGGAACTTGCGATGAAGGTCAACTTACCGGAAGTTAGAGTACAGGTGAGTTGTTACTTCATTCTCCACAAACCTACGCATCGCCACACCTAATTTTATTTTAAGTTTTTGGCTCGACTTAACCCGCGCATCTTGATTGAGAGGCGTTCGCCCTCGAGATTGATTAAAAGACAAACCGACCGTAATTAGATATTAACAATCGCATTAGGGGCGAGGATAAAAGTAATCCGGTCTCTGCCTCGCCGTCCGTGCCATGTTCCCGCGTGACAATCTGACATGAGATCAAGAATGTAATCCGATTGTCTCGTTAGGCATGTCTTGTTAGTTCGGCGAGCTCGCTTCACGTAAATTGGCGCCAAAGCTGCTGCTTTAACTGTACAGGTAAATCAAAAAAAGGCCATAAATAATAACATTAAAACCAAAAATAAATTCTTAAAACAATCCCATAATTAACTTTAACAACATGTAATTTATGTAAATCTGTTCGTAATTAAGTGATAACTGAAGATTTTCATTAAAACAATAATTATGTGTAAATAGATAACCCATCTTAGTCTATTATAATCCTATAAATACTGGTATAAATTTGTTTACAATTTGTTAAAAATGTTTCGTTTTGATATAACTTCTGCACATCCACAAGAAGTTAGTTTGCAGAATGAAACTGCCAGAAAAGATTCTGCAAAAATTACTGCAAACACTTCAAATGTTATGTTTATGTTAAATACCATATTGTAACTGGTCTCCCTTTGGTCCGTAACGTAGGCAGACCACTAACAGCATTAATAAGCATATATCAATCGATAGTGTCCCGATGGTGTCGCCAATATAATTTCAGTAGGATATCCTAGTGGATAGTTATGACAATTCCTCAACATTGATGACAACAATGATCGGGGTTTCAAACTGTTTTAGTATTGATGATCATATCCATCGTTGTTTTCTACGCCAAATAAAAAAATGAAATTACTGCACCATTCAAATGAATGTCATGTGCTGTTGGCTTGTAACAGATAATAAAATAAGAATGTCAATAGGGTATGTGAAAAGTTATGCAATGCATACTGTTGAAAATAGAGTCAAGTCATCTATTGATATAATAACTTGCTAAGATAAGAAGTATCAAAAAACTATGACTTGTAGTAGCTATGTGTGATATAGCTACTCATCATAACAATAGAATATGTAAAAAATAAATTTGATGAAATTGAGTCAAATTCACAGCACAACAAATACACAACACATAACCAATAGAAACACGTAAAATACGATTGAAGTAGTAATGAGAAGAATGAAATAAATGAGAGAGAAGGAGATGATGTTGGTTAAAATAAAGACCAAGATGAAACAGAACAGCTAAAAACGAGCAGCTATAAAAGAGCAACTAAGAAATCAATGATTTTCATTTCAGTGATGTGTAAAGTTGCTGTAAAAGATGGAGAATGAACTCAATTTCACCGAATCTCCGGGACTATCACTGATGTAAAATCCTTCTGGCATCTTTAGATCTAATTGGATGTTTAAACAAGTTAGTAGGAACATTACTATATTTTGCGATTCATCATTTTAAGTAAGATCAACATAGAAAAAAGCAAGCAGCGATATGCACTACAGGTTTATCATATCAAATCTTAAGTCCACAAAAGAGACAGATTTGTGGACATTTATCAAACAGTTTGGTTACCGATAGTTGCTGGTTCCTCTTAACAGCTGTCAGCAGTGCTAATATTTCTTACGAAAACGTCTTTTCCTGCAGTATTTCATTGATTATGTGGTTTATTCTAAAAGTTTTACATTTTATATATGCAGAGAGACTACTTATGATAGTTTTTTCCATGGAATATGGATTCTTTTAACGAAATTATTTATTTGAACCTCTTCTCAATCAGTTTGTCCATTGTAGTAATTCAGCTCATCCATTTGTTAATCGTCGTCTCACATCGATAGAAACTATGTCTTTTTTTGTCTTTCATTTCCTTTGTAGTGCACATTTCGTCTTCCATCTGTACAAATTAATAATCAACTTTGCGTATACGCACCTCGTGCGTTTGACTACAACAAGAAGTGGATGAAGGATCGCAAAACCAACAATAGTAAGGAAAAAAACTCCTAAAATGTAATATATGATTTGTGCTATTTGACTCTACTGCTGTTGGTAAACTAAGAAGTCGTTGATCACTAATAACTTCTGCTGCTTCCGCTTCTAGATTTGATCTGTCTGTTAGAAATGTCGGTGCAAAATAAAGTTCGATAAACAAATTCCAATTGATTGAAGGATATATTCCTGTTTTACGAAATCCAGCCTGAATATTAGTTTGCGTAACAGCTAATGGCATAGGATTTGCAATAATGCTGTGTGTCCTAAATTGACATGGTTTTCTCTGGATAGTTTTGTATCCATGCGTCATAAGTAGTATTAACACCTTTTTGCAAAGGTCCAAATATAGACCGATCAAGTAGTTGGAGTTTATAAGAGTAGTGGGGAGCAACGAAAGTAATATAATACAATTTTTTTTGCAATATTCTATGTGTCTCAAAATAATATGTGATGATTGATTGTTTAATACTAGTTCTCTAAATGATTCATCGTGCATCATCATGTATAAGGCATTAAATGTGTTTATAACATCTTGATTTATAGGTTGCAGTAAAGTAGTCATATTTGGAGGCAAAAATATTTAAAACGTAAATTAATAATTAATTAATAACTTGGTCTACAAAATTCAATACTCCACCAGTATCATTAATAAGCTCCAAAGTCTTACTTTTTAGATATCACAATCAAGTAGACTGCACTATCTTCATCTGCACAACTCGACAAATTACACAACCAATCGTGTTTAGACTTGTTAAGCCCATCGTTTTTCCTATTACGTCGTTCGCTGTACCTCTCATCATTTAGGAAGTATTCACGTTATTACATCCGTACCCTGTTATAATGGCACCCAGTCTACCCTACATTCCATAATATCTCGAGAAGTCAATTTCAAATATCAACCACTGTGGTTGGAGATACTAACTAGTAGTACAAACAATATTCGTTGTAATATTCTATATAATTAATTTTATTGTTTCGCTTTGTTTTTTGTTAAGTTTTTTTTTGTTTTGGTTATAAAACATGAGTTGAATTTACCACTAAATTTAGCTGAAATTTAAAACGTACAATTGCAAAAAATTTAATTTATATTTTAGTTTAGCAAATAAACCCGAATTTTAATGAAAAAAAATTCATTAACTTTGTCACTGTATCTACATCAACTTTTGGGTCAGAATTCATGTTATTGTGTAATAATAAATTTGCATTGAATATTTTTTGTAGTAATTTTGTAACATTTTTCGTTGAATTTCAAAAAAGAAAATACACACATAAATTCGTTGAACTGTTAATATTTCAAAAAGAGTATGATATATTTAATTAAGTACCCCGAGTTTATTGCTTTTATAACGTGCCATCGGGCTCATTATCAACGAATTTGTTTTAAATTTAATAACGACCGGCCCGGGTTTTATTAAAATCAAATCGGAAAAAGAGTCGCAGTTTTATGCGGTCGTTGAGGCCGGCGGTCATTTCCGCATGCAAATTCGCTTTAATAAAACCGCGAAACGTTGCCATATTTCCTTGTTAAACAAGCGCCCGCAACGCCAACGGCATTTTTTGCCAAAAAAAAAACACTAAAAAAATAATAACATCGCGGTCCTAGCATCCAATCAGAATCGGCCGATTATTGAAAACAAAGTCAACGAATTGCGATCCCGCGCCTATTAACAAAATTTAAATTGAATCATGGATGGGCGCACACAATTTTGCAAATAATTTTTTTTTATCGTGTTCAGTTTGTTGTTTTACGTGGGCGAATTTTTCAAACAACAATAATTGTCCGCCTGCGGCGCTAGAAATAATAAAACTTGAAAAAAAAATTTTTCGTTTCGATGCAAATACAATATTGGTCCCCGCTTATGATTTTTTATCAGTTTGGTCGCCTAACAGTGACTTTATGGGGAAATATTTTAAGCGAAAGCGCTATATCAAATATATATTTCAAGTACAGTAAAATATCCATTGAACGGACTAATACTGGGAAGGGAGTGTCCGTTATATGAAAAATTTAAACGTACGAACATCAGAAGATGCACCGCTAAACCCGAAACTTTCTAGTTCTAAGTCTAGGTATAGTTTAGTCCAATGATTTAATAGTTAATGGTTAGTTCAATAAAAAATATACAACAATCTGATGCTGTATAATAACTAAAACTAGAACTAAGACTAAGTCTAGTTAGTGATAACAAATTGTTTATCGCTTTTAGATTTTTCGGAAAATTGCAAAAGTTGTAGAAAATTTTATTCCTAACAATATTGCTCTATTGCACTTTTGCACTTTTGCTCTTAGATACATAGATATTAAAAAAATACGAAAATATGAAAATTTGATGAATTTCGTTATTTTACTAGTAGAAATGGTAACACTCAAAAAGCAAAGCACGTTACAAGAAGGCTTTTGGAACGAAAGTTGTGGCTAACTTTATTCATAGTAATATTGTTTCACTTTTGCTCTCAGATACGTCATAACGAGAAAAATACAGAATATGAAAATTTCATGAATTTGTTGTTTTCTCAAGTTGTTAATGGTAACACTCGGGAAACGCAGCATGTTAGAAAAAAACTTTTGGAACAATAGTTACTGGAAATTTTATTCTTAACAATATTGCTCTCTTGCACTTTTGCTTTTAAAGGCATCAATATTAAGAAAAATAGGAAAATATGAACATTTTCTGAATTTGTTGCTTTTTCAAGTTGCTAATGGTAACTCTCGGAAAACTGATCATATTACAACAAAAATTTTGGAACAATAGTTACTGGAAATTTTATTCTTAACAATATTGCTCTCTTGCACTTTTGCTATCAAAGGCGTCAATATTAAAAAAAATAAGAAAATATAAAAATTTCATGAATTTGTTGATTTTTCATATTATTCATGGCAACTCTCGGAAATCGGATCATATTACAACAAAAATTTTGAAACAATAGTTACTGTAAATTTTATTCT